AGCAGGACGAGGTTGATTCATATACTGCGAGTGTTCACACTAGGGACGGTACCGTAATTAACCAACTCTTCAAGTGTGAACGCAACAAACCAAGTAATTACGGTACCGCCCCTAGTGTATCTGCGAGTGTTCACACTAGGGGCGGTACCGTAATTACTTGGTTTGTTGCGTTCACACTTGAAGAGTTGGTTAATTACGGTACCGTCCCTAGTGTGAACACTCGCAGTATATGAATCAACCTCGTCCTGCTATGAAAAAATTAAATATATTTATTAATTAATATGATATAATATTAATTAGTACTTAAATTCACTTAAATAAATATTTCAAACAAACAAGTTAAAATTACAAAATAAGGACAAACATTCAACTCACTTAATTAGAAGTGATGTTCAATTTGGTGCTCCTACCATTAATCCAGCACCGCGAGATCACGTCTTTTTTCAACAATTTCTTGCTCGACACGAACGAATCAAAGATAAGTCTGCCCACTATGAACTTCGTAATGCATTGGTTGCACATTTGTGAGAAAAATATTCTCATGACAATAACTAGTGTTGTATTTTGTTTTACGTAGTACTTATTGTATTGAATGTTTCATGTTTGTGTTGATGTTTTTTTTTTCTTTAATTAATGTTTGTGATGTAATCCACGTTTGTGCAAAAATTAATGTTATTTTAGTTTTATGATGCAGTGTGTAATTTTATAATTTTTATTTAAATTTATTAATTAATTTTATTAATCAATAATTAATATATATTCATAGATATGTATATTTTAGTAAGCATAGTGTATTAAAATGTAATTTGTGGAGATTATTTAATAAATTAATAAAATTAGAAAGAATATGCTTGGAATATTCTTTTAGAGGGGAATTATAGAGAGAATGAGTTTAAGTTGCTGATACTGTTGAAACTGTAAAACTAGTGAAATGTTACTGCAGAAACTGTATAGATAGAGAAACTGGTTGGAGATGCTCTTAGAGACCAAAATTCCAAAGTTGACATAAGTGATTTTTATTTTTTGCGACACCTTATAAGTCATCCCTTTGACGTTTAAACAAGCCCTTGATCAAAACTGGGGATTAAACAGATAACTACACCAGTAATAGTTACATGTTACCATAACCGCACAACAAACAATAAACTGGGCAGGCGACTTATAGTCGTTCTTTTCTTCATTTATGCAGTTATTTTTCCAGTTCGCAATATTCAAATAATAATTATCCATATTTCTCAACTCTGCCTCTTGAAAACCCAAAATCCAAAAGCATCAAAATTATGTGCACGAATAATATTTTACAAATTAATAGAAGCAGTAGCTTGAATACTTTTACAAAAGAAATATTTAAATCAAAAAATCTATAGCCAAAAAGGAAATGAAAAAAAAAAAGGGCAAAAGGGGGCTAAAATTATCCTCCAATAGGGGTACCCAAATTTAAACCTAATGATCCTCAACACCCTGGGCCTGCTGCAACTTAAGCAGTATCTCCTTTTTCTTCAACCAACGAAAAAAAGGATAATAAAAAAACAACACTAAATTTACCTTAAATGAGCTAGGGACAGTACAATTGTTCAATTTCTTTTGTTTTGTAGGAGAGCTGCAATCACATTCCTTTCCCCAACATTGTAAAGTACAGTGCCCCATATTTCAACTTCAGGAGAGAACAAAAAAATGAAAATTGAATAAATGTAAAGGTGTGAAGGAGTAAGAAGACGAACAAGGGATGATGACTACGTGTATAGCTCGGAGGATGTGAGTTTCATTTTTTNNNTACCATCACTTCCTGTGGACCTCGATGTTCGGACAATGACTACAAAAGATTTTTGAGGCACTCTCGTGTGGTGTGAGAAAAAACGAAGAGCTCCCAATTTGTTAACAGACGAGCTTTGATAAGTTTACCATACGTAATTTACGCATAGTACATGTACAGGCTATTTGCAGCAGCACAGGCTATCGAGTTTTCAGAGGGATGCCATGCCAGGTGGAGCAGCTTTGTGGTGAAATCGAATGTATTCCCATTGGCATCAACTCCCGGACTTTCTGAACCTGCAATATACAAACCCAACATTGTTTATTGTTTCCTTTTTAAGAAAAAGGAGTGAATTGTGCATGAGATCTTATGGAGTGATTTCGAAAGTGACTATCAATGAGGGTGGTTTTGAATTCCTTTTCTATGGGATTTTTAATGAAGATGGAAGTAAGCATGGACGCTTTTGGATTCTCATTATGTTTATGGCTGGACTTCTTCACATGAATTTAGCACTTTACGGCAATTCCCCGGAGCTCAATTTTAATACAACCAATTTTAGCTAAAGCTACAACACGAAGATTTAGCAAATCAACGCATCAAAGGCTACCGATGGATAAT